TCCCGGTGGTGGCAGGAATCCATCCACTCCGAATAGCCGTTTCCTGTTCTCTGTTGACATCAGGGTAGAGAGGCTGTGGATCTGCTGATCTGCTCCTGTGCTTGTGATTGTCTATGGTGCTACTGTTATGTTAAGCCCCTTTGGAGCAAAGCCACAGGATTCCCAGTGAATCACAGTTCGTAGCATGTGCGACTCCACTGGAAAGTGGTTCTTAAAGTGGTTATATAGAAGAGGCCCACAGAGATGTAACAAACCAGCTACAAGTATAATAGGAGAAATGAAACTGAAAAAGTGTCTGGATTAACTCAATTCGCCCGTTTGGGATTTAGAAACCCATTGCTCTGTCTTTTGTCCCAATCCTTGCACATCTATCCAGGTTATTCCAGCTGACCCCTTGCTCAGGGTCCAGGCTTGCTAAGGGAGGCTGAGTAGAATCATAGAATGTAAGACTATCTGACAACAAAGCAAATTATAATCCATGTTACAAAGGATTACAAGTGGTCCCCTAGGAGCCTGCAAGGAAATTGAAGGTAGTTACTTGACCCTGGTCTTTCTCCAATGCCACCAAAATTCTCTCCCCTTGTCCGTAGCTTAATCACACCACACTACACTAAAAGCATCTTGACAGTTTAGCTATTCCAGAGTACTAGCCCACACCTGTCTGTGCACCTTATTTTAGCTTTGTCTAAGCAAAATTGTCTACTGCAAATGCACAATGTTGTTGGTATAAATGTATCTATGCTAGGGACTATTGTTGTCACAATCAAGTCGGATTGATGTCAGACGTCTTCAGTCCCCAGACTCACACCATTTTCAGACAGCTCTGTGATGAGAAACTTTCCCACGGTCATTTCTCAGTGCTGGGACTCACATCCTGAGTTTGGGAGTTTCCTCACTCCGCCGGATAGAAATTAGAGCTGGTTGAAATTTTTCCAAATGAGATTTTGTAAAAAATTATGACTGTTTTTCAAATGTTTCCCCTTTTTGGACAAAATCAGAAATGGAAATAGTTTGTAATTTTCTCATTTATGATTCTAGAGAGTTTTCTTAGATTGTTCCAAGTAGTTGATACTAGAAATGGAAATAGTTTGTAATTTTCTCGTTTATGATTCTAGAGACTTTTCTTAGATTGTTTCAAGTAGTTGATACTTTTTTAAAAAATGAGAAACTAAAGATTTCCCCTTTGTTCTCCCTCCGAAAAGGGGAGCTGAAAAATGGGGGAGGGGAAGGAGAGAGAGAGCAGAAGAATGAAACACTAAAATATTCCCCATATTTTGGAGGGGGTGGTGAAATACTAGAAAAACTGGAAAGCATCTATGAATGCTCACTCCATGAATGCCTTTGCCCATGTACTCAACAGCCTGTAAGGAAAAATGTAGGAGTCATTTGATCTGATCTTAACCTCAGAATGTAGCTGATTCTCTCACAATGTCAGTACTCTGTTTTGGAAAGGGGATTGGGTTGATTTCGACTTTAGAGAAGTCATTTCACTCTCTGTGTCTGTCTTTCTTCTTCTCCTTGCCTTTCTCCATTAGCCTGACCAGTCCCTGTTTAATCAGCCAGAATTCCTTCAGAACATTAAAGCCAACTGTGTTTGGTGTATTTATGGCTACAGCGCCACTACTAGAGCTCAGTGTGCCCCCAAGCCACTACAAGGAAAAAAGCAGAAGTTATTGAATGTTGTTCGTTCTTCAGTCTCATTGAAATGATGCTGGTTTCTTCATAGCGGTAGTGGCAAGACAGGCAGTTCCTGGGGGTAAGACACCTCCCAGATATCCTTTTGATTTCCACCCTCCCTCCCACCAGAACAACTCCTGCATCCTGATTTGCATGCTTCATTATCGGCCATATTCGGTAATCCCCCGTTTAAATGGGCCAAGTGCTACACTGATGTAAACCAGCGTTAATCGATTGATTTCAGTGGTACAACGATGATTTACATCTGCTACATGAGCAGCCTCCTCATGCAGTAGAAACCACATACATGATGCTCCAAGGTGATACTATAATCCCCACCCGAAAAGTGAACAAGCATGGCAACGAACCACAGCTCCTATGGGTACGACACCACCAGGGAGCAGTTTTTAGCCTGTGTATAGGGAACAGAACCGAAGATTCTTCCAAGACTGTCTACTAATACAATGAAAGAATGGACCCAGCAAAGAACATCAGCATTGATTTTGACACACCCATTCAGATTTAGAATCTGATTGCTTCGTCATTTGCCCAGACCCTGCACCTCTCTCCAGGCTGTTTCAACTGACCCCCAGCTCGGGCTTCAGGCATGCAAAGACCCACTGAAAGAACAGAAACCTGCCTGACAAAAATTAAACATGGAACACTCACCCCAAGGATGCTGCCAGCTGCATTCACAATCTGTAAGGGAAAAGTTGAGAGTTACTTTTTCCCACATCTTCTCCGGTGTCATCAAAACAGCAGCTACCCTCCTATGGTCAATAGCTTAACCCCTCCACGTCCATGCCTGGCAGTGTAGCTATCGCAGCCTTCTAGTGCACTTTTGAATGGGCAAACTTTTCTAGCACATTCAGATGTACAAATTCTATAGCGGAAAAATACAATTTTGCTGCTGTAAGCTTGTCTCTACACTTGGGGTTTTCACCAACACAGTCACGTCAGCCAAGGTCCAATCATCTTTATATGCGCAACTAACACCACTATGCCAGGAGAAATCTATAGTGTTGAAATGCCTTGGACAGTTCTGTGCTGGGTAACTTTGCCACGGTCCTTCTTTATTACCACTTGGATTAACCTCCAGAATTTGGGAGTGTGCTTTCTGAGTCTGATTCCACAAGAGAAGAATTAGAGATAGTTAAAAAAAATCCAAATGATTTTTTTGAGAAATCCGTTTGTTGTTGTTGTTGTTGTTGTTTGTTTTAAAAGTTTTTTCACCTTCTGGAAATAAAATTTTTTACAGGATTTTCACTTATATTGCCACCTCCCTTCTTCTCATTACATACATTCCTCGTTTCCTTTTTTTGTAGATGTTGTTTAACACTAATGTTTGCTTGTGGGGAAATTACAGGTGTCAAGTTATTCACAATTTTTGAAAAAAAATTAAGATGCTTCTTTTGTTTTTCTAATGATAAAGAAAGGGGAAGTGGAAAGGCAGTTTTGAAGAACAGACGAAGTTCAAAAGCTGAATCTTTTTCCTTTTTTGATTTTCATTCTTTTTGTTAAAAATACAGAAAAAATGGTTTCCCTGAAAATCTTCATTTTAAACAAAAAATATTTTTGGCTGAGTGAAGCTGAGTACAATTTTTTCATCATTAATTTGATCATTAGTTTTCAGTTCAAAAACAGATTTTTAATCAAAGCCAAACATTTTCCAGAAGGTAATGTAGGATCTGAACATTTTTAGGAGGAGGGGAATGTTGCTGGTTTTGTTTTTCCAAACCAAAATATTTGTACTGAAAAACCTCAGAAATGTAATCACAATGTTTTGGGTTTTTTTCCAATTTTTCCTAATGTGGGAAATTTCCCAGCTATCCAGGCAATTTCCACTGACCTTCCAACTGAGTGTGTTTGTGATTGTCCATGGTGACACTATTATCCTAAGCCCTCATGGAGGAAAGCCACAGTATTCCCAGTGAATCACATTTCACAGTATGAAAGAAAATACAAGACTATGTAGCACTTTAAAGACTAACAAGATGGTTTATTAGATGATGAGCTTTCGTGGGCCAGACCCACTTCCTCAGATCAAAAGGAAGTGGGTCTGGCCCACGAAAGCTCATCATCTAATAAACCATCTTGTTAGTCTTTAAAGTGCTACATAGTCCTGTTTTTTGTTTTAGCTACACCAGACTAACACGGCTACATTTCTATCACTAGTTCACAGTATGTGTGACTCCACTGGGAAGTGATTCTTAAGGGAGTGATAATGAAGAGGTCCACAGAGATTTATCAAACCAGCCACAAGTATAAGAGGAGAAATGAAACTGCAGCAAGTGTCTGGATTAACTCGGATTCGCCCCTTCGGGATTTAGAAACCCATTGCTCTGTCTTTTGTCCCAATCCTTGCACATCTATCCAGGTTATTCCAGCTGACCCCTTGCTCAGGGTCCAGGCTTGCTAAGGAATACTGGGTAACATAAAACTGCCTGACAAGAAAGGAAATTATAAAACTCACCTCACAACGCGTGCTAGGCAGCATCGCAGGAGCCTGCAAGGAAATTGAGAGTAGTTACTTGATCCTGGTCTTTCTCCAATACCCTCAAAATGCCTCCATTATCCATAGATTAACCATACTATGCCTATGCTAAGAGCACCTTGACAGCATAGCTATTGCAGTGTGCTAGTGCACCTGCACCACCTGTGTCCTTTTTTCTAGATCTGGCCCAATGGTCTTTACAGCTAATACACGATGTTGTTGCTTTAAGTGTATTAGTGTTAGGGACTTTTGCTGGCACTGTCGTGTCGATTAGACGTCAAACATGATCAGTCTCCAGACCCACACTTTCTCCAGAACCTTAGTAACGGGCAACTCCCCACTGTCCTTCTTTCTCAGTGCAGAGACATTTCCAGAGTTGGGAGTTTCCTGCCTTCTGCAGATAAGGGTGCGTCTAAGACTACACCTTTCTGTCCACAGAGAGATGTAGATTGGGCACATCAAAATTGCTAATGAAGCAGGGATTTAAATATCCCATGCCTCATTAGCATAAACATGACTGTCGCTTTTTTCAAAACAGAGGTTTTTTTTAAAAAAACGGCAGTCTAGACACGGATCTGTCGAAAATATAGCCTTTTTCGACAGATCCTGTAAACCTCATTTTTGAGGAATGCAGGATCTGTCGAAAAAGGCTTTATTTTCAACACATCTGCTTCTAGACTGCCGTTTTTTAAAAAAAAACCTTCCTTTTTGAAGAAAAAAAAAAAAAGCAGCGGCCATGTTTATGCTATGAGGCGTGGGATATTTAAATCATTGCTTCATTATCAGGGCTTGCCACATGGTGAAGAGCCCCACTCACCAGCCGCACGGTTTCCCGCGGTTCTGAGTTCTGCACAGGCGCAGATCGCTCTGCGCTGGCTCTTCCAGGTTGTCGAGCCCTCTTATTTGTCGAGCCCTGTTCATTAGCAATTTCGATGTGCTTGATTTGCATCCCTCTATTGACAGAGGGATGCAGTCTAGATGTAGCCTCAAAGCTGGTTGAATTTTTTTCCCAAATAAAATTTTGAAAAAAGTTGTTCGATATTTTTAAAATTTTTCCCCTTTGGCCAAAAAGAGAAATGACAGCAGTTTTCAACTCCCTTTCTTAGATTTTTCACTCCGTGGTGCTCCTTTCTAAATTTGTTTGATAAATTATATGCGTTTTTGGGGAAATTTTCCACACCAAAAAATTGTAGGTGTCAACCTTTTGTTGAAAAACTTTAATTTTTTAAATAAACAACTAAAAAATCCTTCCCCCCTTTTGTTTTCCCACTGAAAAAGGGAAAAGAAAGGGAAAGAAAAGAAGGCAGAAGCACAAAACTGAGTCTTTTTTTCCTTTTTTCAGTTTTCAATCCTTTTGTTTAAAATTCAGAAAAAAGGAAGAAAAAAATGTTTTCCATGCAAATCTTCATTTTGACCAAAAAATATTTTTGAGTAACGCCGAATGAAATGTTTCCATCCAAAAAAAATTTTAAATTGAAAAATGGCTTTTCAAACAAATCCAAAACTTTTTAAAAAATCACTTAGATGAAAAATTGGGATCTGAGCATTGGTGTGAAAATGTTGTTCTTTCTGGTTTGCCAAAAGAAAAACTTTGTATTGAAAAACTCTTTAAATTTTATTACATGTTTAGATTTTCTCTAAAGTGGGAAATTTCCACTGTCCAGTCAATTTCTACCCACTAGCCATGCCATTGGATTATCTCCTGGATTCCCCCTTGCAGGGCTTCTTTATGTGTCACATGGGAAACCCTTTTTCTAATGGGCCAAAGTCTGTTCTGGTGTAAAATGGCACTTCCCAATTAACTTCGGTGGAGCTTGGCCCATTTCCCTGTGCTGGAGATCAGTTCTCTTGTGTATGTGGTTGTCCAATAGTAACAATAGCCCTAGTTCCAGTGGCGCAGAATGACAGGATTGCTAGTGAATGCCACTTCCTACTGTGCGTGAGTCCACTAGGAAGTGGTTCTTGTGGTTGTAAAGAAGAGAGGTCACACAAAACCCAACCAAATGGCTTTTAGTATAAAAGGAAACGTTTAGTATAAAAGCTTTTAGAATAAAAGGATGAGGTCCAACAAGGACAAGTGCAGAGTCTTGCACTTGGGACGGAAGAATCTCAAGCATTGTTACAGGCTGGGGACCAACCAGCTAGGTAGTAGTTAAGGATCTGGGGAAAAGGACCTGGGGATTACAGTGGATGAGAAGCTGGTTATGAGTCAACAGTGTGCCCTTGTAGCCAAGAAGGCTAATGGCATGTTAGGTTGCATTAAGAGGAGCATTGCCAGCAGATCCAGAGAAGTGATTATTCCCCTTTATTCGGCTCTAGTAAGGCCACATCTGGAGTATTGTGTCCAGTTCTGGGCTCCCCACTACAGAAAGGATGTGGATGCACTGGAGAGGGTCCAGCGGAGGGCGACCAAAATGATTAGGGGACTGGAGCATATGACCTACAAGGAGAGACTGAGGGAGTTGGGTCTGTTTAGTCTGCAGAAGAGAAGAGTGAGGGGGGATTTGATAGCAGCCTTCAACTTCCTGAAGGGAGGTTCCAAAGAGGATGGAGAAAGGTTGTTCTCAGTAGTGAGGGATGGCAGAACAAGGAACAATGGTCTCAAGTTGTGGCGGGAGAGATCCAGGTTAGATATTAGGAAAAACTATTTCACTAGGAGGGTGGTGAAGCACTGGAATGGGTTCCCTAGGGAAGTAGTGGCGTTTCCATCCCTAGCGATTTTTAAGTCTCGACTCTGGCGGGGTTGATTGAGGGTATGTCTAGACTACCGCGTTTTGTCGACGGAAGTTTTGTCGACAGATACGGTCGACAAAACTTCCGTCGACAAAGAGCGTCCAGACACATTGAGTTCTGTCGACAAAGCAAGCAAGCTGTTATGTCGACAGAACTCAGCGGTAGTGTAGACACTGGTATAGTTTTGTCGACAAAAGTCCACTTTTGTCGACAAAACTAGGTAGTCTAGACACGCCCTTATTAGTTGGGATTGGTCCTGCGTAGGACAGGGGGCTGGACTTGATGAGCTTCTAAGGTCTCTTCCAGCTCTATGGTTCTATGATTCTATGATTAAACTTGAAACTGCAGAGAGCCTCCGGATTAATTTTGATAGATCCCTTTGAGATTTAGAAAACCATTCTTTGTCTTTTGCCCCAGTCCTTCCACATCTGCCTAGATGATTCCAACTAACCACTGGTTCAGGTTTTGGGCTTGCTAAGAAGTCCTGTGATCATATAAAACAGCCTGATAGCAAATAAAATTTGGTCACCAAAGGACCTCTCCTAAGTGGGTTCATCTGAGCCTGAAAGGAAAAAGCCGGGAATTACTTGATCCTATGCTTTCTACTATGTCATCAAAATATAGCAACCGTGTCTACACAAAGGGCTTTTGCTAGCACAGCCATGTCATTCAGTAGGGTAAACATGGGCTCATACGATCAATATTCTCACAGTACAATGTAGACATAGCCAGAGACTCCATCGCATCCTAGGTTAGTTGTTCCAATGGTATTTTTAATATGGCTTAAAATGTGCATGTCTAACTTCACTTTTAGACTATTGGCTCTCATCTTCCTGTCACTACAGAGCTATCTCCCATCAGAAATCTCGTCCCCAGCAATTACATTTATACCAAGATCAAGTCACCCTTTAACTGTCTTGTGTGATAAACTAAATAGATTGTGCTTCTTGTCTTTGGACTCCTCAGCCTCTCTCAGCCTAAGCTCTGAGCACACCTCTGGAGGCCAATGGGCTTCCTATGTTTAATCTGATTTAAAGGCGAATGTAAAAGCTTTAAAGGAAAGTAAATGCTGAACACTCACCAACATTTCACGTGAAGCGCTTTTATCAAACTACAAGAAAAGGCAAACCCGTTACTAAAACATTTATCACTTGTTGCTGCTCTTTCTCTGGCAGCAGTAAATGAAAATGATGCCCTAAAAGGAACAGGACTCAAATGTCTGCTGGTTGCAAATGGGAGCCAGGGTGCTCTGGTATAAAAGGGAACTGGGCTGGGACACAAGAGCTCAAGGATCTATTCTGGGCTCTGCTGCTGAATTTTGGAGTAACTTTATATGAGTCTCTTCCTTTCTCTGTGCCTGTCTTTCTTCTCTTTGCCTTCCTGCCTTTAGTTGACTGGGCACTATACAATGATCCAGAATAGCTTCTCGGACTCTCACAGAGCGTTTATGGACAACACACCACCAGCAGGGCTCCAAGATATTAAATGAAGTTAATGGGTAGCAGGTTTAAAACTAATAAAAGGAAGTTCTTCACACAGCGTGTAGTCAACCTGTGGAACTCCTTGCCAGAGGAGGCTGTGAAGGCTAGGACTATAACAGAGTTTAAAGAGTAGCTAGATAATTTCATGGAGGTTAGGTCCATAAAAGGCTATTAGCCAGGGGATAGAATTGGTGTCCCTGGCCTCTGTTTGTCAGAGGCTGGAGAAGGATGGCAGGAGACAAATCGCTTGATCATTGTCTTCAGTCCACCCTCTCTGGGGCACCTGGTGCTGGCCACTGTCGGTAGACAGGCTACTGGGCTAGATGGACCTTTGGTCTGACCCAGTACGGCCGTTCTTACATTCTTATGTTCTTACGTTAAGTGCCCCCAGTCCAATATAAAGGAAGCGGAAGGAGTTGTTCAGTGCTGCTCTTTCTCTACGATCAGAAATGATGCCAGTTTCATGGCACTATTATGTTCTTACGTTAAGTGCCCCCAGTGCACTATAAAGGAAGCGGAAGGAGTTGTTTAGTGCTGCTCTTTCTCCACGATCAGAAATTATGCCAGTTTCATGACACTGGCTGTGCATGACAGCTCCTGGGTGAGGAAATTTCCAAGCCACCTGCTCAATTTCCACTCTCCCTTCTATTGACATCTTTCCAATATTATCACCACACACCACTCTCCCTTCTATTGACATCTTTCCTATATTATCTCCACACAAAGATTCTCAGCAAATCACAGCTCCTGTTGTGTGTGACTCCACTGGGAAGCGGTTCTTATCATGGCTGTAAAGAGCAGAGCCCTCAGAGGCCCAAAACACCATCTGCTTGGGAGAACTGAAACTGCAAAGAGCATCTTCCTTAACTGTGACACCCCCCTTTGGGATTTATAAGCCCATTCCTTAGTCTTTTGCCTTCATCTTTGCACATCTGTCTGGACTTTTCCAAATGACCGCCATGCTCACAGCTGGGGCATCTGAAGAGTTCTGCAACAATACAGGTACCTGGCCAGTTCAAAACAAGAGAATTTTCCAGACCATGGGAGGTCAGTATTCTCTAGCAGCATTACCAGTACTTGCACTGCTTACAGGGCTGTTAGAGAACCTTTGGGGTAAGTTAGAGCTAAATAAGAGAACAGAACACTCACAGCCACGCCTGGTGGCTATAAACAAACTTTATGGAACCGCGGGAAAAGTGGCCAGATCCAGGAAAAGTGAACATCCAGTTCACTAAAATCATTCCGGACGACGCATGTTTCCAGACCAGAGAGTTCTGGATTAGTGAAGTTCAACGGACGCATGTTTCCAGACCAGAGAGTTCTGGATTAGAGAAGTTTAACGTGTATAACAGTGTTTCTTAAACTGTATTCTGGGGCACACCGGTGTGCCATGGAGAACAACAGAATTCAAAATGGCTGACCTTAAAGAGGCGGGCAACTTTTTTGTTGTTGTTTTTGCTCAATAACTTCCTCTGACCCATTTTTTCCTCAATAACTTCCCCCCGCCTGACACTTTTGCTTCCCCTGACCCTTTTTTTCCTCAATAACTTCCCCCCGCCCTGACACTTTTGTTTTCACAACAAAAAATCTTTGGTGTTTCCCATTAAAAAAAATATTGTTTGGTGTTCCTTGGTTTTAAAAAGTTTAAGAAACACTGGTATATAAGATAGCTGGACAGGAAACCAACTTGGAATACTCACCCCAAAACCTCTTTCAGCTGAGTGCGCAGAACCCTGCAAGGAAAGGTCTGGGAGTTACATGATCTTCCTCTTACTCAATACCCTCAAAATGTAACTGATTAGCCTCCCACTCTCCATAGCTCAGCCACACCATGGCTACACTCGGCACACTCTGGCTTCGGCTACACTATGACTTTTGCCGCAAGAGACAATGCAAATGAAGCATGAATTAGCATTTTCTCGTGCTTCATTTGCATACTCTCCTTCATTTCGTTTTTGCACAAGGGGTTTTTGCACAAAAACAAACAGTGTGGACATTTCCTTTTTGTGCAAAATCCTTATGCCTGTCGTCCACTGAACAGTGTGGACATTTCCTTTTTGTGCAAAAACCCCTTTTTGTGCAAAACGCTTATGCCTGTCATCCACTACCAAACTTCTTTTCACTCTACAGCAACAGTTATGCCAGTGGACTGCAATGTGAAACCTTCCACTACTGTTCTTTGTCGCTGTTGGGATTAATCTCCAGTATCTGGGAGCTTCTTTACTGAGCCTGACCCATCTGCATCAGAATTAGAGGGGGTTGAAATTTTTCCTGTAAAAAAATTGTCCATTTACTTTTCAATAAATGAGAATGTTTGATCATTTTTTGATTCACGATAGCCACCCCGATTTCTTTTCTTTCCCCCCATTTTTTCCCTTTTTCTAGAACAGTTTGTAAAATTGTGTTTTCAGAAATTCAAAACATTTGGGTTTCAACTTTTTTGGAATTTTTTTAAAACTGTTTGAATGAAAAACAGAAAATATCCCCCCCTTTACTTTCCTACTGGAAGAGGGAAGGGAAAGGGGGGGAAATAGCATCTGGACATCAAAAAGCAAAACTTTTCCCATTTTTTGGTCTTAATTATTTTGGATTAAAAACAGAATTAGTGTAAGAAGCAAATTTTTCCATTAAAAATTTAATTTTGAGCAAAAATTTTGTTTGTTTGTTTGTTTGTTTAACTAGAACTGGAAGAAAGTTTTTACTGGTTTTTTTTTTCCAACTGAAAGGTGCGGAGGGGGGGTGGGTTTCAACCACAGTTGAAGCTTTTACAGAAAAAAACATTTAGATGAAAAACTAGAGTCTAAACATTTTATGGGAAATTTTGACAATTTTGTTTTTCCAAAGCAATATATTTTTATTGAAACCCTCAAAAAATTAACCACAGCCTCCTGCCTCATGAGTGGCTTTTGAAAACCAAAAGTTCTATTGTTTTCATTTTCACTTGAAAACCCCAAAACGTTTCATAGGCCATTTTTAAAACTCAATGAAAAAAAACACTTCAGAAGCTCTTTCCCGACGAGAGTTGAGAGTCATTTCTGGACTCTCACTTAGGCACGTCTACACAACAAAGCTATTTCAGGATACTGGAGATATCCCAAAAGAGCTACCCAGCATCTACACAAGCCACCTGTTATTTTGAAATATTTTCCAAAATAACGGGTGTTCTATTTTGCCATCCCTGTAAACTTCATTGCACGAGGAATAAGCCATGGCTCGAGATAGCACTTTATTTTGAAATTTGGCACTGTGTAGATGCGCCAAATTTCAAAATAAGCTATTTCGAAATAAAATCGAAATGAGATTTTATTGCCCATCTTATGTCAAGTTTAGGGTGCAGTGCAGATGCACCCCTAAGTGATGTTCTGCCATATAGGACACTGTATCTTTTAGTGCACGTGTCACTGGATAAGCAGGCACAAGCGCTCGGTTCTGGCTCCAGCCATACCACTGACAGTGCCAATGAAAACATGCCATATTTGGATGCTTACCCTACGTTTCAGTAGTGCGCTGCTTTCCTTAGGGCAAAGGATGGAGACGAGGAGAACCACAGCCACAATCAGGAGCTTCATCTTGGATTCTGTTTGGCTCTTCCAAGTCCAGACAATGGGGTTTAGCAGCCGTATTTATACAATGCATTGGGTGTGCCATTACAAGCTTGACTGCCCAAACCCAATGCTCACACTGTCAAGGAGACCAATCATCTTTATCTATCGGAAAAGGTCAGAGGCTTCATTAAACTCCACCATGTGGAATCAGCTTGCTGCTTCCAAGGCTGGGAGCCAACCTCAGGTTGAAGAATGAATTGCATTATTCTGCTCTATGATGGGTCTTGAGATGACTCATCTTACTGTCATTGTACAGGCCAAAAAACGCTTTACCTCCACTTCTTAATCTCCTCCCTACATGTGAAGGCTGGGTAACAGGCAGGGAACATGTTTTATAATAAGGTGCATGTATCTTATGCCCTTTAACAGACAGTAACAGGAAGAAAGGCACCATGTCGCCAGGTGGTATGAATTGGCCATTGCTGCGTTGGCATCAATGGGGCCAGATTCTCAGCTCAGGTAAATCAGCTGTGGTTCTGCTGCTTGTAGTGAAGTCAGATCACCAGCTGGTGTGAATTAGCCTCTTCTCCACTGGAGTCAATGGGGTCCGATTCCCAGCTCTCACAAATCAGCTGTTATGTTGGGCTCACAGGGGCCAGAATCAAAACTGGTGTAAATGGGCCATTACTCCATGGAAGTCAACATGGAAGCCTCCTCCAGTGTAAACCACCAGTGCTCCATTGGGAGCAGTTCCTCAGCTTGTGTAAATTGGCCATTGCCTTCCAAATTCACGGGGGCAGAGTCCAGCTTGGGTAGCTACCTCCACGGAAGTCAATGACCATTGCAACTGACGATCTAGCCCTGTTACTCTCTAGAGCCTGTTAGTATATGAGTGACAGTAATGCTTAGAGGACTCAGCCTAGTTCAGAGGTGTAGAATCCACCCTAGTCGGAGAGCTAGGAGACATGAGGGATGATGTGGGGGTACGTCAGTTCTCTCTTTCAACGCCTGAACTCTGTTTCATCTTATTAGACCAGGCGTGGCCAACCCACAGCTCGTGAGCTACATGCAGTTCTTCTCCCCCCCGTCAGCCACGTCCCCCCTCCTGGGGCTCCCCTGTGCTCACTGGGGCAGGGGAGCCATGCAGATCCAAAATGGCAGCCATGGATGGGAGCCTGCTGAGGCCAAAAAGCCTTCTTAAAGGGCCAGTCATTTTTTTTTGCTCTACCATTTTTTGGGGGCTCCTTTAAAATGGGGGCTCCTTTTTTTTTTCTCTACCATTTTTTTGCCCCGGCTCTTTGCGCTGGATCCAGCTGGATCTTGGTTCTTTGTTTGGAACAAGTTGGCCACCCCTGTATTAGACTGTAGGCGTTTTGTGTCAGGGAGGTTTCTTGCTGCGTGTGCAACGTTGGCACAACAGATCCCTGATCTCATCTGGGGCAGGAACTCTCTTGCCGTGTATCTGTGCAACACCTGGCATGATGCACCCTGATCTGGATCACATCCTCCAAGGACTAGGTTAATAGAAATGACAACAAAAACCGACAGCTCTGAAGTCTGTGGGAGATCAGCAAGTGTGAAAACCTGGCCCAAGTTGGAATGGTTGCACATGGAGTTAGCCAGAATCAGTGGCCAGTTTAGAAACATAGTGGCCCTTTATCTTCCAGGCAAGAGGAATGGACTCTGGTGGAGTCATGGAGGCTGTTAAAGGGGATGGAAGTCAAGATGCCTGAGACCTGGGTTCTCAACTGTACCATAATGATGCTAGCCAGTATGGGCTACATTAAAGTGGGCTGTAAGTACCAGTGTAGATAAGACTGAGATGTGCTTTGGGCTCAGTAGGGATTGCTGATATGAATTCTCTCAGACGGAGCACCCTCCCTGAAGAGCCAGCACCCACTCCCAGCCCCACACAAACTCTGGAAGGCGAGTTGTCCCTTGTCCTCCGTGTTCCTGAGCTGGTGTGTGTTGTCAGATGTTCAGCTGGGTGCCTGTGTTCTTTCTGCAAGTGGCACTGACTCTGGCCATCAAACTGCCCAATAAGACCCCGCGTCTTGGTTCAGTAGCGAAGACACTTGGTCAGGTTTATTGCCGATGGAGCACAGTGCTAAGGCCTCCGTTCAGTCGTGTGCTTACAAACGTTTGCACGTACTAATGACCCAGGTGAGTCAGGGGCAGAACTTTCCGCTGCCCCCTAGGCCAGACGAAGGTTTAAGGAAAAGTATCCCAACATTTATGGACTGAGACAAACAGTTTGGGATAAGCATCTAACATAGCACCTCATGCTTTTCACAGCGTGGTTGTTACTCCCTGCTGTACTTCCTTCCCCATGTATCCAAGTATCACTATCCATTGCTGTTCTCAAACCATCGTATTGTGGTCCAGGTTGGGGTGTCCTCGTGCTGACTTGCTGAAATGCACGGACATCTGCAGTATGTTTTAGCCGTGCTAGCAACACGGCTGTGGGCTTCTTGTGCTGGACACTGACTTGTGGCAGGCATCTGCTTTTGTCAGGGTTGGACTGTTGCTCACAATATGACTTTTCCTGGCTTTAGTTCAGACCTCAGGCCTTCCACCGGGCTCTCTCTCCTACAGCGTGATGAGCATGTCCTGTCATTCAGAGAGCTGAACAGATGCGTATTGTTCTTTAACTGGGCTGCTGACTTGTTCTGGAGATCAGGCAGAATAATCCAAAGCCCTCCTCTCCTCTTATCAGCATGAGGTGGGTGGCTGCCAGAAGTGAACAAAAGGGGATATTCTTGATGGGTGGTTTTTAGGACGAGTTCTTGCATCAGAGGTGATGTCAGGCAGATGTCCCATCATGGAGGGATTTGCCTCAGGTGACAAGTTAAATGTCCCATAAGATAAAGTCTCACAAGCTCTTTGTTGCTCTAGGGTTATTTCCTGATTCTGACAAGTGGGCAGAGACGGACCCAACAGGAAGAGTCTTTAAACTTGTAATTGTCATGATTTCAGATATTTAAGCCTGAAATGTCCCAGTGCTCTCATGTTAGGGGTCCAGATCCCAAAAGGAGTTTGGGGGATCGCAAGGTGAGTGTAGTTGTGGGGTTGTGGTGCCGTTACTACTCTTCAGCTGTCCAGCTCTGAAGGCAGCACTGCAGAAATAGAACGAGTATGGGGCTCATAGAACCATAGAATCCTCGGGTTGCAAGAGACTTCATGAGGCCCTTGAATCCAGCCCCCTGCCCAAAGCAGGACCAACCCCAATTAAATCATCCCAGCCAGGGCTTTGTCAATCCAGGCCTTAAAAACCTCTAGGAATGGAGATTCCACTCCCTCCCTAGGTAACTTGTCTCAGTGCTTCCCCGCCCTCCTCGGGAAATAGTTTTTCCTAATCTCCAACCTAGACCTCTCTTACTCAACTTGAGACCATTGCTCCTCGTTCTGCCATCTGCCACCACCATTTACAGAAACTGGGATCTGTCCCACTGATTCCAATGGTGCAATGGGCAATTCACACCACCTGCGGATCTGTCCCTGATAGGATCAGAAATACAGAGCAGCGTAGCTCCTGCTGCATGACTTCCCACTCCTCTCTCGGGGTATGTCTACACTACCCTCCTAGTTCGAACTAGGAGGGTAGTGTAGACATACCCCGAGAGAGGAGTGGGAAGTCATGCAGCAGGAGCTACGCTGCTCTGTATTTCTGATCCTATCAGGGACAGATCCGCAGGTGGTGTGAATTGCCCATTGCACCATTGGAATCAGTGGGACAGATCCCAGTTTCTGTAAATGGTGGTGGCAGATGGCAGAACGAGGAGCAATGGTCTCAAGTTGAGTAAGAGAGGTCTAGGTTGGAGATTAGGAAAAACTATTTCCCGAGGAGGGCGGGGAAGCACTGAGACAAGTTACCTAGGGAGGGAGTGGAATCTCCATTCCTAGAGGTTTTTAAGGCCTGGATTGACAAAGCCCTGGCTGGGATGATTTAATTGGGGTTGGTCCTGCTTTGGGCAGGGGGCTGGATTCAAGGGCCTCATGAAGTCTCTTGCAACCCGAGGATTCTATGGTTCTATGAGCCCCATACTCGTTCTATTTCTGCAGTGCTGCCTTCAGAGCTGGACAGCTGAAGAGTAGTAACGGCACCACAACCCCACAACTACACTCACCTTGCGATCCCCCAAACTCCTTTTGGGATCTGGACCCCTAACATGAGAGCACTGGGACATTTCAGGCTTAAATATCTGAAATCATGACAATTACAAGTTTTAAAATCCTATAACCATGAAATTGACCAAACTGGATCATGAATCTGGTAGGGTCCTACCCAGACCTCTTGTGAAGTCAGCAGAGCTGCACGGGTCCTTGTGAGCCTATGATTTAGCCCTGAGCCTGTGGTGTGAGCCACAGTAATCTAGAGCACCATGCAAGTTCAGTGGGACAGAGCCCTGGGTTCAATTTCTAGCCTGCTGGATGATTGGGGCAAGTCAGTTTCTGTCTTTCGCCTTCTGCCTTTTGTGCCTTTTCACACTGCTAGGTCTTTATGGCAGGGACAGTCTCTCGCTGTGTCTGTGCAGTGACCAGCATGATGACAGGGTCCTCAGGGAGCAGCCTGGGATGGTGAGAGCACCGTGCTGGTGACAAGGAGCAAGCCTCCTCCAGATGCTGTGATCACTCAGCACATCTGCATGTGGAACCCCCCTCCAGGGGCAATGATGAATCACTCAGGGTAAGGCGCCAGGCAGATCCCCCCGGGTTCCAGCCTTGTAGTCAAGAACATACCATCTTGCACTGCTCCAGATCCTTTCTTGAGCAATGCAATCCCATCAATGGAAATCGGACATCTGCTAGTCCTTGGATCCTGAGCAGATTTACCAAGCACTTTAGGCAAAGCCAGTGGTAAAGATAAACAGTAAAACAAGAGTATTGACTACAAAAGACAGATTTCAAGTGACTTTACGTGATAGGGAAAAGGTCAGAGCGGTTACCAAAAGAAAAGAAAATACCAGCATGGAGTCTAAACTTTAACCATTATCAAGCAATGTTCTCACCCTACTTGATCTATTGTGTCCAGTTCTGGGCACCACATTTCA